TGGAAAACACAGAAACAGTCGTCAGAATCCTTACCGAAACCCAAGATAATGCAGAAAATTTAAAACATATTTGCAAGAAAAAAGACGAAGTAAATACATAAAATTATTATCTTGATAATAACATGTTTTGTTTGGCATCCAATTCTTGATATGAAACCCCTAACAAAGACAAATAAAATTTATATTTTTGGTTATGATAAAACCTCATGTAAACTACTTTTAATGATAATTTGATACCAACAAGTCAACTATTTAACAAGTCGTTTTCACATCTCAACAGCTAAGCGTACTTCTATTGACAAAATACTTTTCTTAAGATAGTATTTATTATTATAAATATATGTCACATCTTTCGGCCATATCAAGTTTAAACCAACCCCTTTACGAGGCTTTATAGTGAACTGGTGGCGACATCTAATGGGAGTTATTAAAACTTTTCATATCATTAATACACAGCTGTGATGAACCTTATTTTCAGAGGTACACACAGAATGTTGAAACATTGTTTTTGTTACCTCTAAACAATAACAGAGTATAGTAGGTAGTGAAGTAATGTTGAAATAATGTATTAATTTTACTATTATACAGGTTGAGTGCAAGAAAGCCCAACCGAAGGAGGTTATGATGCCCAACAGTGTAGTTCGGGGCACCAGAGGGGTTGGTCGAGGAACTTACGGTGAGTTTGGTATGAAACTATACTTATTCAGCATGATGTTGGTCATAATAAAATTTAGTTAAAAGTGTTGTTTGGAAGGATGTACGAAAAGTTAAAATAATATACATGTATGCAAGAGAAAATTTATATATCTAAAGTTGTCTTATATACATATTTATATATTTAAAGTTGTCTTATATACATATTTATATATTTAAAGTTGTCTTATATACATATTTATATATTTAAAGTTGTCTTATATACATATTTATATATTTAAAGTTGTCTTATATACATATTTATATATTTAAAGTTGTCTTGTATACATATTTATATATTTAAAGTTGTCTTATATATATACGTATTTATATATCTAAAGTTGTCTTGTATACATATTTATATATTTAAAGTTATCTTATATACATATTTATATATTTAAAGTTGTCTTATATATATATTTATATATTTAAAGTTA